TAAAAGATCTTCCACTCGATCTTCATCACTTTAAAATTTGCTACAGCTTGATAGTTTTTAGTAAATTTTATTACAATACTATAGATTATCAAACCTTAAATGAAAATCAAATGAAGGTATTTAAAAGACTTGAAACACATTATAATAATATTATTATAGATGGTAATATTGAGCCATTAAGAATAATTATCATGAGAACTGCAGACACAGGTAAATCATATCTGATTAATGCAATTTGGCAACTACTTCAAAAGATAGCAACTAGAAATGGTATTGAAAGCTTTTCTATAATTGTTCTTGTGCTAACTAGAGTTGCAGCATTTAATATTCACAGGACAATGATTCATTCGGCACTTTCTATTCTAATAAATAGCAATAATATTGATATAAAAGATGAAAGTTTAAAGCAGCTACAAAAAAAATTAAATGGTATAAGATATATAATAATTAATGAAAAAAGTATAGTTGGATGTTGCATGCTGGCTTTAATTGATATAAGGCTATGTCAAGCCTTTCCTGAGAATCATAATCACGTTTGGTGGATGATCAGTTATATTAGTAGGTGATTTCAGCCAACTCCCACTAGTGCTTGATCTACCTATGTATGCACAAAATCTTAGTCATAATCTGTTATCAAATGACAGTATTATAGCATACAGACAGTTTCAGGAGGTTTATTGACTTGATATTGTTCTGTGTCAAGCAGGAAATTCTGAAGAACAATGTCACTTTAGAAACATTTTAATGTGTTTATATGATGGTAAATCTACTATTAATAATTAGAAAGCACTTAGTATATGATTTAAAGGATTATCAAGTATAATGCCAATAGATAATAATCAATTTTCAAATGCTACATATATTCTACCTAGAAAAGTTGAAGTTAATAAAATTAATATTAACATGCTAAAGTCATTAAATAGCCCTATTGCTAGGATTTATACTATTCATACTGGTGGTAATGAGGCATCTAAGGCTGATTCAGATATGGCAAAAGGCCTTGAATCTCAAATTCTGTTAGCTATGGGCACTTATGTTATGCTTAGGGCAAACCTGTATGTAGAGGCCTGGTTAGTTAATAAAGCAATAGGAACAATCTATGATATATTATTTGAAGAAAATCAGGGACCACCTGCACTTCCTATTGCAGTTTTTGTAAAATTTGATGCTTACAATAGCCTCATGATTATATTCATGGATAATAAAAGGACTATTCCAATTCCATCTATCAGATGATCATGAGATACAAATACAGGGAATTAATCATATTTACAAATCCTCTTCAGCCTTGCCTGGGCCATCACGATACATAAAAGCCAAGAACTAATACTAACAAATGCTAGGATCAGTCTTGGAAAAAAAATATATTCTTGTAGCCTTTTATTTGTAGCAATATCTCATGTCCATGCTCTGAAGGATATTCTTTTTAATTCATTTTCACTTCAAAGGCTTCAAAAAATTAAGCAAAGTAAGAGAATGCAAGAAAGGAAAAATGAGAAGAACTGATTAATTTCAATGATAACTTGACTATGAACGCAATAATCCATTAGAACTAAATTTATTTTTTTATATATTAGATCTCATCAGATCTAATATAGAAGAAAAATAAATTCAGTTATTAATGAAATTTATCTGATTATTTTATACTGTAATATTATTACTAATCACTTATTATATTCAGTTTTTCTCTAAGTGCATACACTTTTAATAAATTGAGAACTGCAGTTAACTATAACAATTAGTATTATAACTTTGCAAGTGACAAACCGCTATATGCAATATGATTACTAATTGAATCTCAGTTTTGTGTTATACAACAATTAGCTTATCTTGATTGAATATTTGTTACATACGTATAATGATAGCAATATAATAACAGAGATTTATCTTTTGTATAGATTTTGGAATCAGTTTTAATTTTATATGTTAACCTGATTAAAATTAAGAACTCTTATGTATAAGAAAAATTGAATGCACGTGTATGCAATTTTTGTTAGAAAAAACCAATGAAAATCAAGAATTGAAAGTTTCTGTAATGATCTGCAGTCATTATGCTTACTAATTAAACAATAGACTAATACATATTATTGCTATTAATTAAATAAGATAGCTGCACAACACAGTCACGTAAAATCAGGACCAGGAGATATGAGTATATGCACAATGGTTTGTAATAGCATTACAAATTTAAAATATTATTTTATTTCATCTTACTCCTGTTCATTCATTTTATATATATTGCTTTTTTATTATATATATAGCAGTTTGTGCAAATGCACCTTTTTTATAAAATATAACTGATCAATGCAAATCCAAATATAGTTACAATATATTCAAGAATTTATTCAAACTGTATGTAATATTTTATTAATAATATTAATATTGCTAACTTTATTTAAATTCTGGTCATAACTTTCAAAAACTCAGATTGCAATTCCCTAAATTACAATTACAAAAATAATTATAGTTTGAAATAAACATTTAGAATCTTTTGAATGTGTAAGAATTATATTAGTGTTGCATATTTATCATTATAATAATATATATATATACAGTATAGTACATATATATAAATCAGCATTTGCAATAAAATGTTGCTTGTATGTCCTGGTATTATTATAGTATGATAAATTTAGGCAATAATCATCCTAACAAATACATGCATATGTTAATATACAAAGTCACAAGGAAGTACCATCCAATTAGATGCTCAGATTCTATGACTCCACTTAATTTGCTACATAACCAACATTTCGTATTTTATACTCCATTCCTAGTATACCTATTATATATACATATTAAATAGTAGTTTTATCTTATTGCACTCACATTTACAAAATATTGCAAGCAATTATACACAATGATAATAATATCATATTTCTTAACAACAATTTAGTAAAATAAAAGCAAACATTGTGTTATACATACTTTTTATTATCAAAAACCTTTATATTTTGCTTCAGACTTTTATCAGATCCTGATTTTCTAGTTTAAATACTTTAGTTTTGAAATTTACTTATCTATTTACATCTCTCAATAATCTTAGTTAATATTAGTAAAAATATATTATAGTTACTAAGTTTTTAAAACAGTTTACTCATATAAAAAACCTTGTACTAAATCTTTTAAAATGTTTTGCATCTTATTTTTACAGCTAACCTAGTAACATTATAATCAAAACCAACACTTGCAGTCAAAATATATTATTAAACTACTATGTCTTTGTAGAGTTTATTCTAACTCTAATACTTACTTTTTTTTTTTTTTTGATTTTACTTCCCTCCACTATCCTAAAGGTCCTTAGACACCTTTAGGATCTGTCACATCTCTTAAAGGCCAGAGTTATCATTCTGCGGAGATCATCGGACAG